TGTCTAGAGATATTTTTGATTGTCACAGCTTGGAAGGTGCTACTGGCATCTAATGGGGTGGAGAGTGGGCTGCTGCTGACCATTCTACTATGCACAAGACAGTTCCCACAGCAAAGAATGATTCTGTCCACACTGCCAATAATGCTGCTGTTGACAAACTGATTCTAGTGGAAGATACCGGCACGTAAACACATGAAAGGGAATACGGGAGGGAATTAGAGGGAAGATGGAAAGTGAGCTTGGTAGGGAGAGGGAAAGGTGGGGGAAACACAGTTACTGACTCGCCAGCCCTACTGGGCGCTGTCCTGAGTGGGGAAATAATTTTATTCTATATGTTTATGCAAAGTGTCATAAATACACTGGCACTGGAAGGGGTAGGTATTATCCCAACCTATGAATGCACAAACTGGAGTTTTGAGTGTTTAAGTAACATACCTGAGGTCACACAGGAAGTTGTGAGCTGGGGCCGGGAATGGTGGCTCAGCAGTCCGGGAGATGGAGGCAGGAGGATCGCTTGAGCCAGTAGTCGGAAAAATAAAATGAGACCCCCGTCTCTAAAAATAAAGTTGTAAGCTGGAATTGATGCTACTATTACTCTGAAGTACGCTGGGTCAAAGAATTTGGATGATCAATGGACAAGTTTTTTGTCTCAGAGGAATGAAGAAGTGAGAAAGTTGAAAGTGCAGAAGAAAGAAATCCATGAGCTACACTGTGGGATTTTGGCTAGCTAGGAAAGAGAAGCAGGAAGCAAAGACAGCAACGCATAAATCGGGGAAAGATGTGAAAAGCTCAAGAGTCTGGATGTCTTAGATGAGATACATGCATAAGAAAGAAAGAAAGAAAGAAAGAAAGAAAGAAGAAAGAAAGAAAGAAAGGAAGGAAGGAAGGAAGGAAGGAAGGAAGGAAGGAAGGAAGGAAGGAAGGAAGGAAGGAAGGAAGGAAGGAAGGAAGGAAGAAAGAAAGAAAGAAAGGAAGGAAAGAAAAGAGAAAGAAAGAGAGAGAAAGAGAGAGAGAAAGAAAGAAAAGGTTAAAAAAAAGAAGAGTCTGGATGTCTTGATGAGTTTCTAAATAGAAATAGCAAGAGAAGAGGAACTACAAAAGAAAGCCATGGACCTTTGGAGTAGGGTATTACAGTTTAAGCCTTCTAGTACAAACAGCACAATTAGGGGTATGGATAATAGAAAGTCTTGGAGTAGAGAGCAAAGAACTCTGTTGAATAGGACATGACCTTGGTGTGATCTCAGCTATTGAATAGGTTGGCTGTGGATACTCAGTGAACGTGGGAGAAGGGCCTAGAGATTTATTGACGACAGAAACAGAGAAACAGAATGTAGAATATTGGCTTGTGAGGAGGAAGGGTTTGGAGTAAGAAGTGAGTAGTTATTGAGTATGTGTGGACCTAGGAGAACTTAGAAATCTTCCTTCTCCTAGAGCAGTCTCTATTTGAAAAGCCCTCAGGGAGGTAGTTTATTCAGAAAACAGTTTTGCTTAGCTAAGATAAGGATGCAATTATAGAAGAAAAAGTGAGAGAATGTTTTATAGTGAAAAGGAGGTTCCAGGAGCATGAGAGGAACCTGGAAAAGTTTAACAGTAGTGCCATGAGTTAATAGAAAATAGGGAGCATATTCTATCCTGGGCATGTGTGTGTAGAGGTGGTGTACATTTTCAGCATCATAAATGGATAGAGATGAGTAGCAATAGTAACTTTGGTCCACAGGTTTTTGGTGTCTTAACTAGTTATAGATCTCTACCACTAAAGGAATTGCCTGTTGAACATTGTTAGGAATGTGAGGACTGGGGGCAAACTGCCTGGGTTTGAATTTTGATTCTGTCCCTTACAACCTGTCTGGGTTCAAATCCTAGCTTTGTTTATTAAGTTCTTTTAAGTTGATGATCTTTGGGCAAATGTCTTAGCTTCTGTTTGCTCATGTAAATGGACACAATGGTTGCTACCATGTGAAATAAGTTAATTCATGTAATTGCCCAGCATTTACCAAGAAGCAAAGAAGCATCAGTGTTCAGTTTTAGTCATTGGCAATTCTGTAGCTGGACTGTGAGTGGGGGTGTGTGTGTGTGTGTGTGTGTGTGTAGCACTTAATAGCATTCATTAAGGAAAAGACACTTTTTATAACTGAGGGGCATTTTTCATTTGTTTTTGTGTCAAGACAGAAGAAGACAGTTTGGAAGATATGAATTCTGTTTAATACTAAGCTCTCTTCCTCAAACCAGAGGACATAGAATGTCTAAAAATTTATAGAATTTCTAGACTTAAACAATCTGATTTTTTTTAAATTTGTTTTTGTTTTTGTTTTCTCAGGTTGAGACTGAGCTAATTTGTTGTGACATTCTTGACGTACTGGAAAAATACCTCATTCCAGCAGCTAATATTGGCAAATCCAAAGTTTTCTATTATAAAATGCAGGTTCTATGCTAGAATGGAAAATGTAAGATTAAAAGTTGGTCTTTTTAGTATCCTGACTCTTTTCTAGGTAGGTTTTCAACTTTTATTTAAGAATAATTGTTTAATGTTAGAAAGATCATTAATGTTAGAATAAAAAGATGGTCAGGCTATTATAAAAATGTATTAGGTTTTGCTTTACTTATTTATATTCTTTTGCTTTCATGGGACCCATCCCATTTCCCTCCCCTAAATGACCATACATTTCACAGTGCTATCTTAATGTTTTATATATAATTTTTGTTTCATGATTAATACATTGTCGTGCCATTCCTTGGAACCACTGGCTTGTTTAATTGTAGTCTAACAAGTGATAATTTTGTGGAGTTTTAGAGGCTCCTCAGTTAATTTCTGTGGGCTTTTTATTTACATTTAGTAATATGAAATTTCTAAGGAAAAAAAATGAAACAAAGCCAACCATTCCTGAGAGCGTTTAATGTTATTGAACTGTTGAAGCACACCTGTTGTTACATATATTTTTGTCACATATTTTACATAACATAAAACAATCAGCTTATTTTCCTTTAAAAATCATTGTTTCTCATTAAAAAAATTTTTTTTTGATTTTTCTTTAGGACAGGGGACTACCACAGGTATCTGGCAGAATTTGCCACAGGAAATGACAGGAAGGAGGCTCAGGGAAATAGCTTAGTGGATTATAAAGCTGCTAGTGATATTGCAATGACAGAACTTCCCCCAACGCTTCCCGTTCGCTTAGATCTTGCTCTCGGCTGGGCGCGGTGGCTCACACCTGTAATCCCAGCACTTTGGGAGACTAAGGCAGAAGGATCACGAGGTCAAAAGATCGAGACCATCCTGCCCATCATGGTCAACATGGTGAAACCCCGTCTCTAAAAAAAAAAAAAAAAGCTCTCATTTTTTCCGTATTCTACTATGAAATTCTTAATTCCCCTGACAGTGCCTGCAGATAAGTTGTGGGGAAGAACAAAAGCTCTTGGTGTGAAGAAGGTGTGATAGTTAATACTGTCAACTTGATTGGATTGAAGGATGCAAAGTACTGCTCCTGGGTGTGTCTGTGAGGGTGTTGCCAAAGGAGATTAACATTGAGTCAGTGGGCTTGGAAAGGCAGACCTACCCTCAATCTGGGTGGGCACCATCTAATCAGCTGCCAGCACAGCCAGAATAAAAGCAGGCAGAAGAATGTGAAAAGAGGAGACTGGCTTAGCCTCCCAGCCTACATCTTTCTCCCATGCTGGATACTTCCTGCTCTCAAACATCAGACCGCAAGTTCTTCAGCTTTGGAACTCAAACTGGCTTCCTTGTTCCTCAGCTTGCAGATGGCCTATTGTGGGACTCTTGTGAGTTAATATATATATATATATGTTTGTATATTATATAATTATATATATACTATATATCCAGTGACACGTTTGGGCCAAAGAGCAGTGTTGGGTATGGGAGAGACTCAAGCTGGGGAAGAAGTCACTTCCTCCAGGAGACACTGTTTCCTGGCAACAGTCTTTCATCTCCCTTATTAGCCCTTCCCCTTTATATATATATCCTATTAGTTCTGTCCCTCTAGAGAACCCTGACTAATACAGCGTTGTATTTTACTAAATTTCATATTTCTTGTTATGCATATTGTTTTCCAATACATTGATTTATTAAGTTTATATCTCAGCGTGATTTGTGTATACAAAATTGAATAAGTGAAATATTAGCATATTTTAGAGATGTGGAAAAAATGTCAGGTACGAGTTTAATTATTAGTCAATGTATTCAGTCAGACAATTCAACTAGGATTAAGCTTTTTAAAAATTAAAAATAGTAACAATTCATGTTATTTTAAAGATTTTCAATAAATATTTTTGGTTTTTATTTGTTTTAAGATTTATCTATGCTAATTAAATGATGTTTATTTCGCTTACTTCAGTAGCACATAGACTTTTAGCTTAGTGGATCATTTTGTGTGTCTGGTTTGATTCGAATAAGATTACTCACTAAGTATACAAAGGGGGAAATTTTACATTAAAGTTAACGTCAAATGGTCTTTCAGTTGTGTCCAAAGGCGTCGACTTCTCTCCAGGACCCTTGCAGCTTAGTTGCATAAACAGCGTATCTAATACCGAATGCAATTCCAGGCACCCTTCTAAGCATTCCACTTGCATTATTTCATTCAATTTTACAGCAACCTTTCAGGTGGTTATTATGAGTACACTTTTTTTCCCCCAGAAGAAGAAACTGAGTCATAAAGGCCTTAACTTGGGACAATCACTTGTGTAGGAAAGGGGCACCAGGATTCAAACGTGCTGTCTGAAACAGGATTCTGCAAACGTCACTACCGTACTATTCTGTCCCATCCACTGACACTGTACCTCAATTCTCAGAACTTCACGTCCTAACTGGGGCAAAACGGCAAAAGTGCTCTACCTGCAACATGTGCAGATAATGACCCTTACTCGTATTGGCCAGGGTAAGGCTATCTGGGTGGGAGTTGGGCGGGTCCTGTCTCCTAGGCAACAGCACGTGCACACAAGCGGCCAATAATGCACCCCTCTCCCGGACCCAGGAAGGTGATGTCACTTCCTTCGTCTGGTTGGTTGCCCCAGCGACACGTTGGGCCGAAGAGCGGTGTTGGGTACCAGAGAGACGGGAAGTCACTTCCTCCCGGAGACGCTGTTTCCTAGCAACCTCCCTCTGCTTCGGTTATTAGTCCCTCCTTCTCGCTTGGTCCAGGAGCGGCTCTGCGGGCGCTGCCAGGCCCAGGCAGCCCAAGGTGAGCAGCTCCTACCCGAGGCCAGGCTCTTGGTTCTCAGGGTACCGGGGAACTCGCCGCGGGCGTCGGGTGCTGGGAACAGAAAGCAGGACCTGGAGGCCACTAGAGATCCGGACAGAGACCACGCTTGTGCGTGTACCGGCCTGGCGTTCGCTAGGCGTTCAACCTACGGCGGGGTGAGGAACAGGCGGGCACCCGGACGCCACCTGGCCTGGCCGGGGACTGAACCCGGGAGCGCACCGTTACGGCGGCCCTGCCAGGCCTCTGTTCCGAGGTCGGGAAACCGTGATTTTAATGCGGCTCATCGCGAAAGCTTCGTCTTTTTGTTTTACCTGGCTCTCTCAACGCTTTTGTGAGAGGAAAAAGTGGCTTGCGATGAATATCGCTGGCTGTTCGCGGGTCAGCATGACGATCTTTTTCTTTGAATAGCGCTATATTTAAATATATGAACACATTTTTTTGGTGGTGGTGCTCATAATTTTACGTCGGCTATCCTTTTGATGGCCTTTTAAATAAGGCATGACTTATTTTGAAGGTAATATTATACTTTAGAAGAGAGGTGAAAAATAAGGTGCTCTGTTTTAATTGAGAGCGTTTTGTGGTATTACCATGTAACCATTTATTTGCTGAATTTGTAAGTAGTTGCAAAACTATTTTAGGATAATTTTCATATGATTTTTTTTTTTAACAAGCTTGTTGTGAGAATTTGACACTTCTTTACTAGAACTCCTTTTACATTTTTAAGTGAAAATCTAGCCTAATGTTCATATGAGATGCTTTTCTTAGTTGGTTTGACTTTTAGGGAAAGAGTAGAATCAAATGTAGTAAAATAAATTCTCAAGTATGCAAAGTCTGTTTTTTTTTTTTTTATATTTCAGCCACTATCAGAAGTTGAATTATTTTAACAATTAGCTATTTTATAAAGGTAAAGAGACAGAAATACACTATGTGTGATGAAGTTTTTAGCACCACTTTGGCATATACAAAGAGTCCGAAAGTTACCAAAAGAACTACTTTCCAGGTAAAGTATTTCAAAGTATTTTTATTTTGAGTTATTTCACAGTGTAAGCACTGTATTAGATGTGTAGAAATTGGTGATTCTAGGAACAGTCCTTTACAAAGAAGGGGCAAATCTTTCATTTCTTTTGAGGTTTTGCACATGATCATGTTTGTGCTTCATCCATTATTACAAACTCCCCTATATGGTTTTAAGATCACCAAAGTAGCCTCAATGTTAGGTTCCTAGTAAGTTAAGTTGGATAGCCACCTTAAATTGCCATTTTTATATAAAAATTTTTTTTCTGTTGTAACATAATGTTTAAATTTTTTCTGTTGAGTCACTACAATTTTGAACTCAGCCTGAGTTTGCAATATTGATTGCATCCATTTCTGAAATACGCTGAGACAAGAGCTCTTAAAAATACCAATTTCTTTCAAAAGGCCAGGGTTTTTTTTTTGATACATTCTTTTATTTTATTTTTTTTTGAGATGGAGTTTCGCTCTTGTTACCCAGGCTGGAGTGCAATGGCGCGATCTCGGCTCACTGCAACCTCTGCCTCCTGGGTTCAGGCAGTTCTCCTCCCTCAGCCTCCCGAGTAGCTGGGACTACAGGCACACGCCACCATGCCCAGCTAATTTTTTTTTTTGTATTTTTAGTAGAGACGGGGTTTCACCATGTTGACCAGGATAGTCTCGATCTCTTGACCTCTTGATCTACCTGCCTCGGCCTCCCAAAGTGCTGGGATTACAGGCGTGAGCCACCGCACCCAGCTGATAAATTCTAATCTAAATTGAGCCCCTTCTTGTTTGTTACCCTCCAGCTCTAATCACAACCTGCAATTAATTTATTTGATGTCTGTCTCCTGTAGTTTAACTGCAAGCTCTGTGTTGCTCTGCATTGAGTTTTAGGCATAAAGTGGGTACATGGTATAAAGTGAGCTTGCAGGGAATATTTGTTAGATGAATGAAACTGAAGTTTGTAAGCAGGTATTAATCAAGCATTGTTTAAAGAATTACTTGTAAATATGATACCTCCATTGTTTGCCTGGAAATTGATTTCAGTATCTCATTTCAGGATGAGCTAATAAGAGCAATTACAGCTCGCTCAGCCAGACAAAGGAGTTCTGAATACTCAGAAGACTTTGACAGTGATGAGATTGGTATGTGGCAGTGTGGAAAAATGAACCACTTTTCTTCTTTTTGCTTCCTTAGTTTTGTATTTAGCCAGCACCCCCACCAACCCACTTTCCCAAATCACTTATGTGAAAATAATACCCATGCATTCACTAGTTTTAGATTTTCAACTTTTTAATTAGTAGAAAGCCACTCTTAATTTTCAAGAAGTTGTATGATTTTTCTTGTTGTGTTTTTTTTTTTCTGAATGTGTATATGAAAATATAAATTAATTGATCCCAGGTTTGCAGCAAAAGGAGGGCTGCCAGTGGTAAACCGCATTGGAGAAGACAGATTCATCTTTAAGATATCAACCCTAGGAGGTGCTACAGCTAGTTAGCAACTAGGTCCCTTGCTGCACATTGGACGTACTTTATAATGCTTGCTATAAATCGGATTTTTTTTTTGGCTATGATAATGGGTCAATTTAAAAACCACAGACTCTTCGTGTTTCATATATCAGTACTATTATAATTTAATTTGGTTTCTCTTAGCCATGTAAAAATATTAACATTTTAGTTTCAGTTGTAAGCATATGGAATTCTAAACTTCATGTTTTATTCTTTAAATTTGGTGAATAATTGTTAATGATTTCTGTAAAACCAATCATAACTGCAGTTAAATCACTGCTGTATAGTTAGCTTAACATTCCTTATGATTCTTAGTAAAGCTAATATTCTGTTGTGGATGAAATTGTAGTTCCAAAAGTTTTAAGGAAAAAAATAGTAATTACTAATTAAATTCTTCATTTACAAATGTTCTTGATTTCATATGATGAAGTAATTTGCAAATAAAAGTTTTACAGTCCAAAATCGAAGTTAAAAGCTACATGGGTGATTGTCAGGGACCTTTGGACGAATTTTTCCAGAGCAAACACAGTGTTTACTGTCCTACAGATATACAATAAATACATTTTGAATAAATTAATGAAATTGGAACTATTATTTCATAAATGTCAATGAAACATGCCTGAGTTAGCTGTGTTTTTAGAGCTGCAGGTTTATTTATAAAATACATTTGTGCCTATTCGTTGTTGTAATTTTGTTTGTAGTTTTTAAGGTAACCTTTTTGATTAAGTTAATATAACATTGACAATTTCAAAAAAATACTGTTGAAAACATTTTTTCTTTTCACTTTTTCAGTTTCTATAGGTGATTTTTCCGACACTTCAGCAGATGAAAATTCAGTTAATAAAAAAATAAATGACTTTCATATATCAGATGATGAAGAAAAGAATCCTTCAAAACTATCTTTTTTGAAAACCAAGAAATCAAACAGTAACATAATCGAAGATGAGCCAGTATGTGCTGTCAAAAATGATGAGGAAACAGCACCTGAAGGGTGTGAAGACATTGCTGTAAAATTCCTCTCTGAATCTCAAAATAAGGATGAGGAATTTGAAAAAGACAAAATAAAAATGAAACCTAAACCCAGAATTCGCTCAATTAAAAGCACATCTTCAGGTAATTTGTTAGGATTACTGTAATTGCATTTCTTGAAAGTTTATTTGAAAATAATCAGTCCCAAAACTTTTTATATGGTGGCTAGTATATATTTAAGAACAAAAGACAGACTTAACTTCAGTGTTACACACCTGTTGTATTTTGTCTCGCATCTAGGCTGTTGCCTGATAGAAAGCCAGAGCACCGTTAGTTATCCATAACAGCCGTCACTGTAGCCCTCCACACACCTAGACCTGTGAGTTTCAGTTCTGTTTGCAGGCATGGAACTGGAACAGAATCCTGTCTAATCCCTCTCACACTCCAGAGATTAGTTACAGCAATATCGGGACTAATCCTTAGAACAGTCATTGCTATACCAACATTGAGCCAGAAAATTTTCTTGACATTTGTATATTTGAAGGATGAGTTATGTTGTTGCTGCTGCTGTTAGTTGAAGCTTCCAGGTGTTCCTTGAGAGAATCTCCATTTGATCTCTGTATGTATGAAAATCTACTAAGATTCAGTTTTCCAAAGGAAAGTTCTTTGTGATCTGAGAATACAGTAAATTTTCCACAATTCTACTGAACTTTAAGCATAAAGGAACAAAGATAGAATGAAACAAGAGACCAAGCCCTCTCATGGCCTGGGCTACCATTCATGAACTTGTACATGCACATTTAAGGGTTTTGTGTTTTTCAGTCTTCTTTCTATTTTATAAAGGAATTATTAGTTGATGTTAACTTTCATAAAAGTCTCCTTCCATATCATGAGTAAATACAGTGCTGGTAAATATTTCATACTTTGCTTATTGGATACTAGTGGTAACATCAGACAGAATTTTATTTCAGGCATGTATTAGGGATCTACTCCTTTCTTCTTGACCCCACAATCTCATTAACTTTGAAATGAGCAAAGGATCTAAGCAGACCAAAGAACACTAGAATAATGTCCAGGACACAGGGGAAAAAGCCACTGTGTGTTAGTTATATATGACTTCAGCAAGTAAGTTAAGCTTCACTATCTTCATGATGAAGAAGCTAAAAAAGCCCTCTTTCTATTCCTGCAAAATTGTTGTGAGAATTTATTGAAGTACATCTCATAAACTATAAAAAAAAAACTACAGAAATGCAAACAGGAGGCGTAATTAAACAGAATTAACTTGTTAAAATGTGCCTTCCAAGTAGAGTGAGTGAAATCAAAGCTGGAGAGAAGAGGTACATAATTGAACTTTGTTATTGAGAAAATGCTAGCATATAGCAGCTAAAAATTTGTTTGAGACAGGTGGATGTATATACTTAGAAGTTTATGGTAGATAATTAGGAAAGCAATAATCCATCTATTTCATACCTTAAAAGCAACAAACAAAGAAACCTGCCTGTGGTGGGTTAAAAGGGTTCAAATGAATCAGGAAATACTGTATTTTAACCACAAGGTGGCATCAGGATCCTAAATGCTATATGCAATATTATATTCAGCATGTGTAATATAAAAATAATTACCTAACTAGGTAATTGTATACATTAATTACCAAAAGAGCATTTTTCTTAAAGTATAGGCATTTTTTTTCTTTCTGGGAACTTGACAGTACTTCTGGAAGTGGGATTGTTGTAGAAAATTTATTATAGTTGTCATTCTCAGCTTCTTCATGTTGAAGAGTAAAAATTGAGGCTAGTGTTCCTAAATAATATTTGGCATATAGAATATATTAAGTGTTTAAATGAATAAGTTTATATATGAATGATTTATCTTTGAAAGAGGGAGTATAGTTCATGAGTTTATCCTTCTCTAAATTTTTTGCCATTTTTATTACATATAGGTTTGGAACTCAGTATTTTTAATGTGGTGAGATATTGCTGAGTAGCAAGTAATGCTTTATCAAAAGATTAGAACTTGAAGGTTTTCTCTGTCCTTGCTTATCTTTGATAAAAAGTATAATAACCAGACTTGACAACCACTACTGAAGTGACAGTTGCTCTCTAAAGTGAAAGTATTTTTTGCAGGATATGTTTTTATTTTAATACTGACATGACTGAAATCATCAGCTTTGGAATCAGGATGCCTCTCCTTTAATCTGAGATCTGCAGCCTGGTATCGTTTGTGACTTTGGGCATGAGACCTCCTTGTTCTCATTTTATTCATCTTTAAAAATGGGGTAATAGTTGTCTACCTCTAGGAATTTGTGGTAATTAAATGAGTTCACATATTTGAAGTGCTTAGAACAGTATTGGCATAAATTTACCACTCTATAAATGTTCTGATTATTCATTTTCTATTTAGCGTTTGTTCATCAACATGCTCAGCAGAGATAAAGTATCAGTCATGCAGATCCGTAAGTTCTAGAGATCTGCTATACAACATTGTGCCTGTAGTTAACAATACTATCATTTGCACTTAATAAGAAGGTAGATCTCATGTTTTGTTCCCATCACAATAATAAAAATGGACTCAACACCTTCTTTCAGGCATTATATAATACTCTACTTAAAATGAGGCTCGAAAGACATGCAAGCATTTGTCAGAAGGAAAAGCAGGAAATGGATATTCTAGGCAGAGGGATCAGCTTGGGTAATGTTATGGTAGGATGGATTGTGGCACGTGTGCATGACAACTGTTAGCTCAGCATTTCAGGAACACAGATTACAAAATGGCTATAAACAAGACAGTGAGGGACAAAACCATAAAAGCCTTTTATATGGTTCAAAGGCAGTTAAGCTTTTAGGATGGGATCCTGGGGAACCATTGAAGAATTTTGTAGAGAGGAGTGATGTGATCTGATTCGCATTTTGTATATATCATGGAAGCAGTAATCTAGGAAAGAATGGATAAGGACCTGACAGTAGGGATGTAGAAAGTGGAATAAATGAGATATTTGGCAAGTAGAATTGATGGGGTATATTAATGCTTCGGATATAGGGGAGAATAGAGGGAGGAATCTAGGGCCCTTGGATTTGGGGCTGAACATTTGGCTGGAGTTAAGGATGTAGCTAAAATTTTCAAGGAAATATTTATTATAATACCAATTTGGTGTGGCTGTGAAATATTCTGGCAGCAGTCATAAACCCATTTCTAGGTAAATGGGGGGAAGATGTTACTTAGACCAGTTTTGAAGTTTAGAAAAATGCATTTGTAGAACAATAGAAATGTAAATATATATAGCAGGTAAAATTCAGGCAAAAAATATATCCGTGGAAAGCCTTTCCATTATGTTTCAAATGCTTGAGTGCATATCAGCATTAGATTCTTGTTTTAAACTTAGAAGTAATGGAAATAGCAAAATTTTAATAACTGCTAAAGAAATTTTATGGACTCAGAACAATTAACTCATAAAAGATTCCTTCTTCTAGTGAGATTTAGCACTCCTATCCCTTGTGTGCCAACATCATCATCTTTGTCCTTGTAATAGAACTGACCTTTGTCTTGTAATTTTGTTTGGAAAAATCAACCTGTAAAGTCCCTGGACAGGTCCATTGCCACTTTGTTGATTATGATATTTAGTAACTTGTACAGGGCTTGGTACAAGTTACTAAAGGTTTGTCGGATGAACCTCCTCATTTTTTAGTGGTAGAAACAGGCAAGATATTTTGTTTTAACATTTTTTTTGAATACTATGAGTTCATAGGCCAGGCATTGTGGCTTATGCCTGTAACCCAGCACTTTGGGAGGCTGAGGCGGGTGGATCACCTGAGACTGGGAGTTGGAGACCAGCCTGGCTAACATGGAAAAACCCTCTCTCTACTAAAAATACAAAATTAGCCAGGCATGGTGGCGCATGCCTGTAATCCCAGCTACTCGGGAGGCTGAGGCAGGAGAATCACTTGAACCCGGGAGGCAGAGGTTGCTGTGAGCCGAGATCGTGCCAATGTACTCCAGCCTGGGCAACAAGGGTGAAACTCCGTCTCAAAAAAACAAAAAAGTTCATAATGTTGAAGAGTTAACTTCTCGTGAAGCTAAAGTATACTGGTTACTTTCAGGATGACAACTATTTTTTTTTACTTTGATTATTAACTATCATTTATTTGCGCCTTACTAGAGCTCTGTATAGAAAAGAGTTGTGGGCTTCATCTAGACTCTTCAGGGACAGAGAGGTAAGGGGCATGGGCACAGGAGGGAAGTATGGTGGCACCTAGAGAGATAGATAAAGCCATGGTGACTTTTTGGTACACACATTTTAAGCATTTTATTTTTCAGCAGAAAACAACAGCCTTGACACAGATGATCACTTTAAACCATCACCTCGGCCAAGGAGTATGTTAAAAAAGAATAGCCACAGAGAGGAGACAGATGGACTAGAAGATAAAACTGCCCTCAGTGAAGAATTGGAGTTACATTCCTCACCCTCTTCTCTTCCAATGCCAAATGGCACACAATTAGAAGCTGAGAAAAAAGCATTCTCTGAAAACCTTGATGCTGAGGTTAGCACTACTGCTAAACTGTTGAATTGCGTTCTTGAATTTATGCTTTTTTATGTAATTATGAAAAAGAGGGAGAGAATGAATTTGTATGCATGTGTGTGTTTTACATATTTCTTCTGCAACTGATAAGGAAATAATTTTTTAAAATACACTGTATTCCACCAAGTCTAAACCTGCACGAATTGTAAGATGTAGCATTGTTTTACATACCAGTAAGGAAGAAGGAAATGAATCTAGTTAAACTGTAACATACCAGTGATTGTAGTGTATCCAGTTTTAGAGAAAGTAAAATGTCAAAAAGTGTTGCTTTTCTGAATCTATATATAGTGTTTATCTTTAATAATTTTTAAAATTTATGTATCTTTGAATTATGTAATTTATGGCTAAGAACAACAGTGTCATTTTATTCATTTGATTATATTCACTCAACAAATATGTGCTGAATGTTCATGGCACTGTTCTGTGTTCTTTGGATTATGCTCCAATAGCATTAAGTGTGGCCTTTCAGATTTCCCTCAGGGAGTTTACTATGCATTGTTATTAAGGGAGAACACTTCGTTTTTCTCTTAGTATTTCACTATGAGAAGTAAACTTTCTCTTCTGAGCATGACAGAAGGGAAAAGTATAGGAAGAACATTTCTTCTCCATAATCTGCTTGGGCAAATTGGGGGAAAGGTACTGCATGCTCCCTGGCTAAGCTGCTTTCTTTTTCTCATCGCTTGTCGGCAGTGTTGGTGTGTAAGGATCTGCTCCTTGGGAGGTGAGGCAGAAGGGGCCGAGAGGAGCTCCTCTGTGTTGTGAATGAATAGGGAACCCCCTTTATTCAGACCGGAAGTATTAGGAAGCACAATAGGCTACCAATTCAAACCTTGTTCTGCAGTTGAACTTTACTGGTACAGCCGACAATTTGATACAGGTCTAGCTGACACCGCCAGGCTGTTTCTTAATTTGTTCTGAAAACCAGAAGGCGAATCCCAAGCAATTACTTTATATTTGAGAAAATTATCTGGTCAGTTGAATATTGTGCTAGTTTGTTGTAGCTGCTGTAACAATTTACCACAAACCGGTTAACTTACAACAACAGAAATGGATTCTTTTTAATTATTAATGCTAAACAGCCTAGCCTTAGTGTATCTTAATGAAAGTCTCTTTTGCATTTGTAAAGTAGATGTGTTCCTCAGGTGTTGAATATAATGTTTTATAATTTAAGTTTGGTCAACATGGTTGGTAATATCATTCAGATCTTCTTATCTTATCGACTTCTCATCTCATTTGTTTACCAGTTACCAACTGGTAAACCTAAGGGGGTATTAATGTATCCTATATGTTTATCGGTTTCTCTGTACTTCTCTTTAGTTCTGTCAGTATTTATCTGGTTTTTAAAATTTTTGTTTTATTGTTGTTTCTCTGTTATTCTTTTCTTGCCTTTTTTTGAGGATATAATAATGAATTTTTTAGTTTTTTATTGTTATTGACCATTTATATCTGTTTGCATTACATTTTTCATAGTTGCTCAGTGGGTTGCAAAATACATCTAAAAATTATCACAGTCTATTTAGAATTGATATTGTATTCTTTCACATTTGATATAGAAACCTTGCTTATAGTTCCATATACTCCCTCATCCATTGTGCTATTGTTGTCGTATATATCTACGTATCATACAATCCCCATAATAAAGTTATAACATTTTTTAAAGAGCCCTTTAATTCTTTATATTAGACTTGTAAAGAATTAAAAGACTAGAATAAATACATATTATAGATATACATTCTGTATACATCTATAATAGATATAGATCTATACAGGATCTGATTTTACAGGATCCACTGAGGTCTCCCTTATGCCACAGATAGAGGTGGCAAAGGTTTTTGGTGAATTTCATATGCAGATTTTGTGGTCACTGTCCTCTGCTATTTTGGCTGATCTGGTGGTCCTAGACTCTATCTTTTGTCCCCTCAAGTCAGTCCACCAAGGCTGTAGCCTCCTATTACTTGAGCTCCATAGATTGCAGACAGCCTTCTGGCAAAAAGCTACTAATTTGCAGATCTCCTCAGGTGAAGCTTTGTCTTTCAGGGTTAAACTCCAGTGTTTCAGCCTTCTTCCATTTTCTCAAATGTTTTCTCTCCATTGCTTTTGACATATAATTCCCTTTGTACCCATAAAATATCATGGGGAAAGAAAATTAAAATATTTGCACAACAAAGTTGAACTTCTTACAGTATAATATCACATTTAGGCTAGATGATTCTAAGAAGAAATATTTACCTTTGATCCACGAATATAATTATTTCATTTCAGATATAATTTTCAGAATTTTGAGGAAAACTCAAGTGCATACAATCTATGTGCTTTTTCTATCTAAAATATTTGGAAGTAGCTGCTTACTTGATTTTATTAAATGCTTTCATTTGGATAACTAGTAATATTTGCTTGGAACTAAGTATTTTACCTGTCTTCTTTATGCTTTCCTTCAAAGGATAATTGTAGGAAGAGTTATCAAAATCAAATCTTGGCCAAATCACATATTTATATGAAATTTGGTTTTAAGGTAGTAAGAGTTCTGAAAATTGGTAAAATCAAATAGAGAGGTGGTGGTAGTTAGGTAAAGAACTTGAATAACGCTTTCAGTGGCCCCTTTTAATGACCAAGACATCAAGGCTTGAAAGTAAAGCATACTCACCTCCACTGGCTCATCGCATTTTGTGTTTCAGCAGCAAATGCCCAATCATGCAGATTTCAGAATTATGCACTATTTCAGAATTTGTAGTTTTAATAATGCTATTGTTCCCACGAATGTTGGTAACTAAACTTACTTGGCAAATATATTTTTTTTTGCAAAAACAGGATTCATGCTTAACAAGTCTATCATCATCATCTCTTAAACAAATTCTTGAAGATTCTTTTTCACCAGGATCTGAGGGAAATGCATCCATAAAAGGTGGTTATGTCTAATAATTATATCTTATCTTATTGGTGAACTCGGTAGTACTTAGAATATCCTGTTTGTAAGAGAAATAATACTTTCTATAGTTATAAGGGAAATAGATGTTTTGTATGTTTGAGTTTTAATCTAGACCATGTAGTTAACGAACTGTGATTTTGGATTCAGAATTTAATCTCTCAGTGCCTCAATTTCCCCAAATTATATTATCTGTCTCATAAGGTTATTGTGAAAATTAAGTGATATAGTGCATTTTAGCCACTAGCTTAATTCATGCCCCAAGAGGAGTGAGCACTTACGGTAAACTACCATTATGTATGTGTTGCTGTGATATTCTGCAGGACAACATAAGAGCTAGGTGGAATTTTAAAATGAGACTAAGCGAGGTTTGAATGCTGGCACACATTACATTACATAAGCAAGGCAATTAACCTTTCTGACCCTTTATATTGATCTTTAAAAATGGGTAAAATAAGAATAACCTGTTATAGGGTGGTGTAAAATTAAATAAAGTAATAATATATGCAAAGTATTTACAGCAATACCATAGTAAGCACTTAGTGTGATATGTGAGTTGTTAACAAATTTTTTTCTTAATGCTGTGATATGTAGCTTAATAAAAGCTAAAAGATGTAGCTATTTCTAGGTCTGAGATGTGAACATTTATTAAGTGCTTCCTAGGTGGTATCATTTTTGTCATTTTACAGATGAGAAAAGCTGAAGTACAGTGATTTGGGGAAACACCCAAGGTTAGTGATAGACCCACACTTAAATCTTAGGCTCCAAAGTTCTTGTTCCTTTTACTGAATACGTTAAGAGCTCCAAAGAATCCAGTAATAAATTGAGTCATGAGTAATTTCCAAATGTGAATAATAATGTAATTTTAAGCCCATTTACCTGAAAACAAATTCTAAAAAAAAAAAAAAAAAAGGTCATAATGAAACCAACAGAATTAAGACTTTTGACAGTGAAGATTCAGATTTTGCTGGGAGGTGGATCTTTGTAGAACTGAAAGTTGGTGATCCCATTCCCAAAGTAGTAGAATCAGGATAGTAGAAGCAATTCTATAAATGCAAAACTGAGTCTTCGTATGCCAGAGCTTGAGCCTGTTTCTTGGAGCACTGAGAGTATAAGCAATAGGCTTGTCTTTATTGTCCCTTATGTTATCCAGGGCAGTACTGCATCTTGGGATAAAACTCAGCAGAGACTGTGTAAAACTGCATTCGTTCTTGGTTCTTTCTGCATCTATACCATTCAACAATTGTACTACTAGTAACTGTAGAAGCCTAGAGAGGTGTGGCTTCTTCTTTTGCAGCCTGTTGTTCTAGTTAAGAAACTCAGGCTTTAGGGTTGAACAAATATTGTCATCTCACTTACTTGGTTTGTATATCAACAGCTCTTTTGGTGTTTCTTTTGTTTTAGGGTAGTTATTTCATTCTGTTTGTTAATATGCTATCTTTCTAGGTATTAGATTTGTTAAGTGCTTCATTAAACGTAGACTTTTTTGGTAAATCACTTTGAAAAAGTTTATGCAAGTTTAATATGATAGTTTTCTTCATATTTTGTAAGAAAAAAAGAGATTATAAATAGTTTAAAAGAAAGCAAATGAATCTGGTGTTCACCTTATTAAGTCAGAAGGGGGTTTTAATAGTATTACTCTGTCTCAAAATAGATCCAAATGAAGAAATCACTGAAAACCATAATTCCTTGAAATCAGATGAAAATGAAGAGCGTTCATTTTCAGCAGACCATGTCACTACTGCATTTGAGAAGTCCAAGGAAAGTCAAGTGACTGCTGATGACCTTGAAGAAGAAAAGGAGAAAGCTGAATTGATTATGGATGGTGACAGAACAGTTGATCCACTACTATCTAAATCTCAGAGTATCTTAATACCTGCCAGTTCAACACTGTCTGCAAAGGTATTTATAAAAATTCATACCTTTCATTCTACAACTTAAAACTTGAAATAGAACTTTAAGATTTTTTTTTTTTTTGACACGGAGTCTCGCTCTCTCACCCAGGCTAGAGTGCAGTGATACAAACTCAGCTCACTACAACCTCCGTCTCCTAGGTTCAAGCGATTCTCTGCCTTAGCCTTCAGAGTAGCTGGGAATACAGGCACCCACTACCATGCCTGGCTAATTTTTTATATTTTTAGTAGAGATGGGGTTTCACCATACTGGCCAGGCTGGTCTTGAACTCCTGACCTCGTGATCCACCTACCTTGGCTTCCCAAAGTGCTGGGATTACAGGCATGAGCCACCACACCAGGCCAGAAGTTTTATCTTCTGTGTTCTGAATTACCTAGGGAAAATTTATTTTTTGATAGGGGTATTTTCACATGGTTCTTACTTAATCCAATAAAATTTAACTTTAAGGAAAGTTTGCAGTGAATATAATGAAACCCAGTGTTTAAAAATTATTAGAGGCATTTGATCATAATACACTTTAAAATATTTCAGAAATGCATACCCATAGTGTATATATTCCCACAGGTCTTCATATTTTAAAAATATAACTGTCTGGAATAATTTCTGAGATTTTAAATTAGAGTTATGTTTTTGGATATGTTTTAAAATATGTTAACAATTTTAATGAAAGTCTTAAAAATGTTTATCAACATCCATGCTTCTTTGAAATAGATGGTTATCAGGAACATTAATACTTGATCCTTTGCCTTTATTTCCTAATTTTCAAAATAATGAATTAGTGCCCTAGCAACCTCCAGAGGTGATGAAGTTGCTTTGTTTTTTTTCTTTTCTTATTTCATATAAATTTAACAGATACCAAGTTCTTTTTTGTTACATGGTTATATTGTATAGTAGTAAACTCAGACTTTTAGTATAAACTAAAGGGAACATTGTACCCATTAAGTAATTTCTCATCCCTCACCTCCATCCCACTCTTCCTAGTCTCCAGTATCTATTATTCCCTACTCTGTATACATGTGTACACAGTATTTAGCTCCTACTTGTAAGAACATGCACCATTTGACTTTCTGTTTCTGATTTATTTCACTTAAGGTAATAGCCTTCAGTTCATCCAAGTTGTTGTAAAAGACATTATTTCTTTTATGTATGGCTGCATAGTATTCCATTGTGTGTGTGTACACCACATTTTCTTTAGCTAGTCATATGTTGATGTACACTTAGGTTGATTCCTTTGCTATTGTGACTAGTGCTGTGATAAACATATGTGAGCAGGTATCTTTTATATAATGGTTTACATTCCTTTTGGCAGATACTCATAGTGGGGTTGCTGGATTGAATGGTAGTTCTATTTTTACTTCTTTAAGAAATTCACATATTATTTTCCATAGAGATTGTACTAATTTACATTCTTACCAAGAGTATATAAGCATTCCCTTTTCTCTGTGTTCTCACCAACATCTGTTACCTTTTAATAATAGCTGAATATTCTGACTAGTATAAGATATCTCACTGTGGTTTTAATTTGTGTTTCTCTGATGATTAGTGATGGTGAGCATTTGTTTTTTCACGTTTCTTGACCACTTGTATGTCATCTTTTCAGGAATATCTATTCACATTTTTTGCCCTCTTTTTAATGGGGTTATTTGGTTTTTGTTGTTGTTGTTGTTGAGGGGAACATTATTATAACCTTAAGAAACAGATATGTGATGTGTAGGATTACCTGTCTCTACGCTAAGTTGTGCCTGGGTGCTATATGTTAAAAATTTATGGTATAGCATTTTCAGTGCTTGTTTCTCCTGAATTTGTCATTATCTCTTATAGCTGCAATTAATTAGCAGCTCTGTGTTCTTATTATCAGGGGAAGAAAACAATGCTAGCTGAAAATTTGTGTTTGAGCAATACTTTCATAACATAAAATACCAGCTTTTCTTAAAATGTATGAAGTTTCATTAAGCCATGTTCCAGGTATATCATCCTTAGCTACTTTCCTTAGGGAAAAACACAGTTAGGGATGTGTTTATATTTGTGCTTTCACTTTACCATTAGCATCCATCAGTCTGTGTAAAGTAGAAAAGTTCTTCCTTAAAAGAAGAAAGGGTATTCTGGAGTTTATAGACAGGATTGTAGAATGTTTAGGAACAGGCAATTTATATGTAACAGTAAGGTTGTAACATATTTCTTTTGACTGGACCCTTGACTTCATTCTTACTCTCCACTGAGTGACCTTTTCTAAACAGGAATCTTATCATTCTCCATTAAAGTCTTTTTGTTGGTTTCTCATCACAAGAATACAGTCCAGACTCCTCGTTGCCACCTAGTGGTCTCACATGGTTCTTCTCTGACCACATCGTCCTCCACTTTCCCTGCCATTCACTATGCTTCAGCTCCATTCACCTCTTTCTGTTTTTCGAAGATACCAAGCTCTGTCTTTTCTCAGGCTTTTACCACTTGCTGTTTCTTTCTCTCATAGACTTTCACATGGGCCCTTTGCACTCATTATTTGTCTCAGCTCTGATGTCAGGCCCTCTGGACAGCCTTCTCTCATCAACTTCTCTAAAGCAGCCCCTCAAACCCGCCTTAGTCACTCTCTGTCACTGTACAATATTTTATCTCCTTCATGAATCATGTTTGCTTATATGTTTATTTTTGGTCAGCCCTCTCTAAAATTTAATCTTAAGGGCATTTTATTCACTGATTTGTTCCCAGTGTCTGATGGATTTGACAAAGAGTAGTTGCTTAAAAAATACTGACTTACTGGCAGTTTTTGGCTTCTAAGCCTAACAAGGATAGTTGTCATGAATAAATCATCTATGGCATTTTCTGTTTAATAGAAAACAATTGAAGATAGAAATATGAAGAATAAAAAGTCAACAAATAATAGAGTATCCAGTGCATCTGCCAGGTAATAAAGTTATCAGTATTTGTTATTTATGGGCTTGCATTCTAGCAAAACTAGTTTTGATTTAACTTTCACAAAGTAAATTTCATTTGGTGTTACTGTATTTTCCCTTTATTTCCATTTCATAAGATGAAAGGAGTAGTTACTTCATGATAAAACCCCTTGGTTGATGATAGTATGTGAAATAAAGTAATTTATAAAGAGTAAGTCTATTACTGGTTGTTTTAATGTCTGGAATGTTTATACAATACATTTGGTCTCCAGGATCAGCTTATGAATATTTTTCTTCTTTCTTACTCTCAGTGATTAGGGGTTCTCTGTGCTCCACACTGCTTCTGGAATAGAGCTGCTTTCTCCTTCTCCTATTTTTCCTAAGATAAGAGATACAGAATGGTAATAAAGCCAAAGTCCAGCAATGATATTTATTTATCAAGTATTTTTATCTAACATGTGAAAAATTTTACTGAAAGCCTTCAGAATCTATGAACTAATGATAGATTAGTTCACACCAATGATAATGAATGCTTAACTCATAAGCGCTCATCAAACCTTCTGAATCTCTAAATTACCGTTAGTCAAATTATCATTAATCAAATAGAACAGCCACCAAGCTTTTTCTGCAAATGGCCAGTTAGTACATATTTTAGGTTTTGTAGGAAATAACAGTCTTTATTGCAGCCATTTTAACAGGAAAACAGCCACAGGCAAAACTTAAGTTAATGATTACAGATACGGTGCAATAAACTTTGTATACCAAAACTGAGGGCTGGCCGTTTCTCCTACCAGTCCCTTAAATAGACGGTACTATTCTTTCTAACTTTATATTTGGAATAGTACATGTAACAAAATGATGAAAGAAAGTATTAAAAGAGTGATTATAACCTACTTTACTGTTTTTTCCATGTAACTTGAGAAGTGGTCCATATTTTTTTAAAAGGGTCTAATTACAAGTATTTTAAAAGCGCAATCATTTTAAGCTATATAAACTTAAAGTTATAAAATTTAAATTATGTTAAAGGGCACATATGTCCTCTTCAACATAATTTCGTACTCTTTGTATACTAAGACTGTTCATTTTACCTACATCATTTTCAAAGTAATTATAATTTGTTAAATTATAATGTAGTTTTCCATTTTTTTTCTGTTTTTGAGATGGAGTCTCACTCTGTTGCTCAGGCTGGAGTGCAGTAGCACGATCTCTGCTCACTGCAACCTCTGCCTCCTGGGCTCAAGTGGTTCTCGCACCTCAGCCTCCAGAGTAGCTGGGACTACAGGCATGCGCCACACACAGTGGCTGGTTTTTCTTTTTTTTTGTATTTTTGGTAGAGGCAGGGTTTCCACATGTTGCCCTGGCTGGTCTGTAACTCCTGAGCTCAAGTGATCCACCCACTTTGGCCTTCCAAAATGCTGGGATTACAGGTATGAGCCATTGTGTCTGACCAGTTTTCAAATATTATACATGCATATTCTAACAGATTTCTCTTCTACCAAATGCAATTGTAATATTTTGTCTTTGTTACTTTGGATCTTTTCAGATTAATGACCTCTGAGTTTCTGAAGAAATCTAGTTCTAAAAGGAGAAGTCCACCAACAACTCCCTCTTCTAACTATTTAGGGACTTTAAAAATCTTGGACCAAAAACCTTCACAGAAACAGAGCATAGAATCTGATAGAGCAGATAGCATAAGAGCAGCTGTTTATCAGGTAAAAAAGGAAAATATTTTTAAGAAGAGAAGAATAATAATCACTTTTATAAGCCTACCATGTTTATAAAGAATAACCCTGTCAGAAATGATGGCTTAATATTTAAATTTATTGAGAAAGATTTTTCTTTTAATACATGAGTAATCCATAGATATTTTACTAAATTATTTGCTTCAACACTTTGCATAACTGATCATAGTTGTTTTTAAAGAGAGAATATGCCATAGCAATTTATAGAAATATAGCAAAAGCTAAAATGTTGTAAAGTCTGCATACGTTTTCATCTTTTCTTGAAGTTTATATGAACAAAAGAATTACTATGAACAAAAAGTTATTGAATTTTTTCTTTCCTGAGATGTTGTTAGGCATACATAGAAAAAACATTTTATTAATTTATTCGCAATTCTAAAAAGATCTTGTCTTTTTTATGTAGAATAGTGCACTTTAGAAAACTGTACATGTGAATTTCAGGGAAAAATGTTAATATAAAGAATTCTAATTCATTGATGAAATTTTGAATATTATATAATCATTTTCTTGTTCTCATAGGAGTGGTTAGAAAAGAAAAATGTGTATTTACATGAAATGCACAGAATAAAAAGAATTGAAAGTGAAAACTTAAGGATCCAAAATGAAAAGGTATTCTGACTTATAGAAGTAAAAGTGTTCTGGATATTTATTTCAGTAAAATATCCCTGAATATATAACTTTTCTAAATCAACTTTTCAAATGGCAAAATAACTTGTATATTAAAGAATTGATTTCTGGTTTTATTTCTGTTTTGCTTTATACATTTTAGTTTGATACAACTGTCTTACATTAAAACAGATTTTAATTTTGTTTATGTATAGGGTAGCTTTGTTCCTGCTGATTATGAAGTTTTATTGTTTTTGAGCACCTAATTCACTCTTAAAAGTTGACTTCATTTAGAATTTAACCAAGAAGGTCAGGACTGTGGCTCACACCTGTAATCCCATCACTTTGGGAGGCCAAGGCAGGCAGGATCCCTTGAGGTTTGGAGTTCACACCAGCATGGGCAATGTGGTGAAACCCTGTCTCTACTAAAAGTACAAAAATTAGCTGGGCATAGTGGCAGGCACCTGTAATCCCAGCTTCTTGGGAGGGAGGAGGAGGTTGCAGTTAGCTGAGATTGCGCCTCTGTAGTCCAGCCAGGGTGACAGAGACTCTGTCTCAAAAAAAAAAAAAAAAAAGGCACAAGAAGATAAAGGATCATTAGATACTAGTTGGCCTTGAGTTTTCTTTCCTCTTTTCTCTCTTGAATTTTATAAGTATCTCAAGTCCAACCCCTACCTGAGCTCTTGATTTATATCCTTTCTCATCAACTGAAGGTAAACTTTTGTTCCTGTCTCTTCTATACTGAGTCTATTCCTCTAACTCCTGCTCATAATACACTCAGTTATTTCCTATCTTCTAAAATAAAAGTTTTGAAAAATATTCCAGTATGTTGTTCAATACTAAAATAAATTTAGAAGAAAACAATTTTCCAAAGTGAACTGAATGATAATTCATCAGTAGCAAAGGGAACAGCCCTCCAGCAGGTGTGCCTGTCTATCTGTTTCCCATGTTTGTAGCAGTATGCGGCTGTGGTCAGTGCCATACCCCTTCTCCTTCCATGTTCACAACTCTGTGAGGTAGATGTACTTTGACTTCTAAATTATGTTACCCCATATTAAGGTTTTATGTCATTTAGTAATAACCAATAAAGCAAACATAGAATATTATGGGATTAGATTGAAGAAAGTAAAATAACATAACTTGGTATACAGTCTCCAACCTGTTTTTCATTCTAGCACATCCTTTCAACATTTGGAATACATTAGTAAGAACTTTATGTTTTGATACTGTTCAAAATTCAGATTGAAACCAAAGATCTGTATCTTACTGCATGACTTGGCCAGTTTGCCTTACTCTAATTTACTTTATAAGCCTTTAACTTTACTGATTTTTTTTATTCAAATGTTTTATTATGAAAATTTTACTGCACCACTTAGCCTATTACAATTTATTTTGATATCATTTGTTTAGTACATTTCAAAAATACTAGTTGGCATTCTTCTCATTAATAGGTCAATATGTGATAAATGTTTTTAGAAAATGACATTTTAAAATCAATGAATAATTCAGATAACATTCTTTGTAAATTAACTTATCTAAGCCACTCTAAATAAATTATCTACTTTAAAAGTTAATTTCTAAGTACAATGAATATCAAAAGATTAAAGATAAATGTGTATGTGTATATTTCTATCTAGCCATATTTGTCTATATATATGTGTGTGTGTGTATATCAGTCTATTATTTTTTCCAACATAGAAAAGAGCTGCTAAAAGAGAAGAAGCATTAGCATCATTTGAGGCCTGGAAGGCAATGAAAGAAAAGGAAGCAAAGAAATTAGCTGCCAAAAAGAGGCTTGAAGAAAAAAACAAGAAGAAAACTGAAGAAGAAAATGCTCTGAGAAAAAAAGAAGCACTACAAGTATTTGAGAGCTTTGCACATCTTAATTATTTAAAAATATTTGAAATCCAATTAATGCTTAACCATATTTGTATTTATTTTCAAATATTCTGAACTTTTTCAGGCTTTTGAAAAATGGAAAGAGAAAAAGATGGAATATCTTAAAGAGAAAAACAGAAAGGAGAGAGAATATGAAAGAGCAAAGAAACAGAAAGAGGAGGAGACTGTTGCCGAGAAAAAGAAAGATAATTTAACTGCTGTTGAAAAATGGTAATCCAAGATCATAAATATTTTGATATATTTTAAATTAATAATACTTCAGGATTGTATAAAATATATTTACTTGGGATTTACTAATACATTTCAATCTCATTACTATCAAAGATGTACCAGGAAACCTTTAGTATGTATTTTCCTTTAACTCTCCAGTGTTTTATACCATCCTCTATAGGAATGAGAAAAAGGAAGCTTTTTTCAAGCAAAAGGAAAAGGAAAAAATAAATGAGAGAGGAAAAGAAGAACTGAAAAGAGCTGAGAAAAAAGATAAGGAGAAACAAGCTATTAATGAATACGAAAAATGGCTGGTAGGAATTATTTGTCAATGCACCTGTATCTTTTTCATGTATACCTTTGTGTCTTTTCTGTTCCTAATTCTGTTTGCTCCAGACCCACTGATCGTTTCTATGTAGAAGCTACTTTGTTGAATTCAAGCTCTCCTCCTGCTCATAGCATATTTACTTTGATTTAGTCATTTCTATTAATGTTGCTACTATTCCCTCAAATACCCAGCTTACAACTTGTTGTAGGCTGGGCACAGTGGCTCATGCCTGTAATCCCAGCACTTTGGGAGGCCGAGGTGGGTGGATCATGAGGTCAAGAGATCAAGACCATCCCAGCCAACATGGTGAAACCCCCTCTCTACTTAAATACAAAAATGAGCTGGGCGTGGTGGCACACACCTGTAGTCCCAGCTACTTGGGAGGCTGAGGCAGGAGAATTACTTTAACCCAGGAGGCGGAGGTTGCAGTGAGCCAAGATCGCACCACTGCACTCCAGCCTGACGCCTGGCGACAGAACAAGACTCTGTCTCAAAAAAAAAAAAAACTTGTTATAGTCTTCTTCCTTACCTGCATCCTCACATTTACCATTTACTATTCATGCCCATTCTTCCTTTGAAGTGATTCTCACATCTAACATCATAGAAAGAAGACAGATGTACTGCTAAGGGTACTACTTGGTGGAACTTGGTCATGACACAAAGTAACACTGAATTTAATAGTGAGAAAATTATTCCATTTTTTATTCGCTTTTGATATTTCTGATGACCTCAAGGAGAATCTCTTATTTATGTGTTTTTAATGGAAGAGAGCAAGTTTTAGGTTTAGGAGGAGCAATATCTAGCTAATCCAAATATTGTCTATATTTGATTTCCCTTTATCTTTATAAAAGTTACTTTTTGTTGATGTCAAGCAAAATATTATTTTCCATTTTAGAAAATCAACATAAATAGGCATTTTTGTCAACTTTCATGTAAGTACGACATTACTATGAATAAATACTTTACATAAGTAGGTAACACATTCATATGAACAGTTAACATGTGATTCAGCAATCAGAAAGTGTAACCTTTTTGTACTAGAAGTTTATCCAGTCAGGTTTCCTATGAAACTTTACAACAACTCATATCAATCAACTAGTTAAAAAAATCAGCTGGGCATGGTGGCTCACGCCTGTAATCCCAGCACTTTGGGGGACCGAGGCGGGTGGATCACGAGGTCAAGAGTTCGAGACCATCCTGGTCAACATCCTGGTAAAACCCCGTCTCTACTAAAAAATACAAAAAATTAGCTGGGCATGGTAGCGCGTGCCTGTAATCCCAGCTACTCAGGAGGCTGAGGCAGGGGAATTGCCTGAACCCAGGAGGCAGAGGTTGCGGTGAGCTGAGATTGCGCCATTGCACTCCAGCCTGGGTAACAATCGCGAAACTCCGTCTCAAAAAAAAAAAAAAAAAAAAAAAAAACAAACAAGCATCCAGGTTATTTTTGATTTGCATTTCTCTGGTTAGAATTGAGCTTGAATATCTTTTCATTTGTATATGAGCCATTTATATATTATTTTCTCTGTAAATTGTCATTTCATAGACTGCACACTTTTCTATTAGATTGTTGGGTTTTTTTCTTATGAATTTCTAGAATCTTTTGTTTTGTACTAGGGAAATTAGCCCATCATTTTTTATATGTGTTGCAAATATTTTTCCCCAACATATTGTTGGTTTACCAGCTTTTCTTATAGTATTTTATACCATGAAGAATTTATTTTTTAGGTGTCAAATTTATCAATCTTTTTTGGGGGAGTGGGGCTTTTGACTTTCAAGCATAGTTGAAAAAACCTCAAGCAATTTGAGGTTAAACAAAATTCTCTTATTTTTCATCTAACAACTTTCTGACTCTAGAATCTTAATGTTTTAACATTTGTTCCACTTAGAATTTATCCTGATACATGGTGGGAAATATGATTTCAACTTCATTTTTTCCAAATGTGTCCTTTATAAAGTAGCCCATTTTTACCCATTGATTTGAGGTGCTGCTTTTATTGTATGATACATTCTCATATTTTGGGGTCTGCTTCTTATGTTTCTGTTCCATTAGTCAGTGGTGATTCCAGTGCTGCCGCACTTTCATTATTAGGCTTCGTATGTATGTCTAAATATCTGTTGGGTTCATCTCCCTTTATAGTTCTTCTTTCACAGTCTTTCTGACCAGTCTTATTTTTGTCCATAAACTTAAGAATCAGCAGTAGTTAGAAAGGCACAGAAGACCAAAATGAGCTATTTAAAGATAGGAAAAAAAGATAAAACAATAATAAACTTAAGAAACATACAAGATCAACATAAAGAAAATTGTAGAACTCTCCTGAACAACAAAAATCAAGACTTGAGAAAATAGATCAGAATCGCCCTTGCATACAAACACACTTAATCTTATAATGATGTTATAAAGATGGCAGCTCTCTCTGAAGTAATTTCATGTACTCTTAACCACAGAATTTCATTTTTTATTCTGTTTTGAGAACAGGATTTACTCTGTGTGTTGACTTTAGTACTGCTATATGCTAATTCCTTGCAGAGAAATAGTAATAAAATAATCAAAATTGGTTCAGTTTTGAATAAAGAACATAGTATTTCATGATAATTTCCTTAGATTAAACATCTAAATAATACTATATTCTAAAAAAAAATTTAAAGTTCACTTATATTCAAAAGATGAATACTGACTGCTAGTAAATTAATAGGGAAATTAAATGTAAATATTTGAGTTTTCCATTTTATTTCCATATTTTCATGAAAGTGGAATAGAATTTCCTTAATAAGCCACATTTACGTATGCTGTTTTTAATTATAGTACTTAATTACATTGTCATTCTCATCAATCCTCTGAAGAACAAGAATTCCTCAAAGACCAAAGACAAAATAACATGTTTTGGTATCTAGTAAAATGTCTACAAATATAGTGCATCTATAAACACATAAATATACATGTTACGGATCCATTCTCCTTCACATTGAAATTTTTTTGCAGATAGAATAGAAAACTTGCCCCATATAGAAGTCTAGTAAAAAATGTAAAATAACATCTCAACCTTTTTATGTACAAACTAGTTTGCACAGTAAGCATTTGGTGGGTAGTTTAGGGGAAAGTTATAGCCAGAGATCAGGTAAGACTCAAATATTTTTCTTGCCAATTCCCAGATTAATTCATCATTATCTTTAGTAAGAAAATGAGCAAAAAGTTTAGTTTTACACAGAGGAATGTCAGGAGGACTTTTTAACAAGGTTCTTTTAATTATTATCAAGGTAACTATTGATTCTTGTGAATTGACATTACAGTTATTATAATTGTCTATTTTTTAACCTGGCTTCACAGCCCCCTGCTAGTAAGATGAAGCATATTTCAGTTTACTGTCCTGCCGTGTTAAGTAGAATTACAAAAAGAGATTTATTCAGTCAGTTTCTCTGGACACAGTCTGGTCACTCCTTTTCTTCGACCTAGCAGGATGGTCTTCCTCTCTCTAAAATATTAAAGTAATTGAAGATGATCCAATTACAGCTTTGCTTTTCTCAATCAAAATTCTGAAAGGAAGTTCCCCTTTTGCCTTAATAGAAATAGCAAGCAAGCAAACATGCAAACATTCCAATGACATGGAACAAGGACATGGGTGTTAAGATTGGAAAAAAAAAACCTAGTTCATTTTGTTCATTATATGTGAATAATTATATGTGAATGGAAACCTTGTACTGTATTGCCATGTTATTCTTGTGGCATTTATACATATACTGTTGAAGAGATGCATACACACCTAATCATTCTCCACAATGCCTCTCCTCCCATGCCATCCATCTGCAGAGGCAGGTTTCACTAAGGGTTTTCCTGCTCCTTGAGGAATATGAGAAAATTACCAAGATGAAGAAACCACCAAACAAACTTATGGTATTAGCAGAGACAAAAAGAAATAGACAATCCAGGTTGTAAGTTGGAAAGACCGGATGCTACTAATGTTTCAAGTACACCTAGGTAAATATTTAGATTTCATACTAATACCAGATACTCAGTTATTTCTTTGAAGGGAGTACGTGCAGGGAAATGAAATGATTCTCAAATTCATCTGTAAAATAAAAATATGGGAGATAATATTTTGAGAATAGTATGAAGTAGGACTATCCCTGTCAAGCAATAAAATATAAATTTACCATTCCACTTCTGCAAATCATCATTCTTTCTACTGTTCTGAATTGTTCCCATCATGTTCCAGGAAACAAACACACCCTTTGAAGTCTGCATTGTCCTCCATCTATAGGCCAACTTTTGTCTGCTTTTGTTATAGTGAAACATCTAGAAAGTTTGGCCTATACTTCCTTATTTCCTCATATCCTTTTCATTCACTTCCCACTTCAGTTTTGTCTTTGTCCTCATCACTACACCAAAATCACACGTTGAAAGTTACAGGTTTGCATCTGGAACGGTCTATTGTGTGTTTCTGTCCCTGCTTCAGAATGTCTCGGCATTCTACAGTTGATTTCCTCCTCCTGCAGCTGTCACCTCCTTTGGCTGTCATGCTCCCCTAGTCTTCCCCTCACTTCTCTGCCTGGCTTATGTGTCACTGGTTGAATTTTTTTACCTAAAAGAATTCTGCATGTTACCATGGCTTGCCAAGCCCCATATGATCTTAGTCCTCATTAATGTTTTTCTCACCTGGTGCCACTCTCCTGTCTCTTGTCTCCTGCTTCTTGTGAAGCCTTAGTCACAGTGGATCTTTTTGGTTTTCTCCCACATTACAAGTTTCTTCCCCTCTGTCAGAGCGCTCACCACTACTGTTTGCTTTCCTTGCAAAGCTATCCCCCAATATTTATCACGAGTGGCTTCTCTTATCCATCATGTCACACTTGAAAGGGGCTTTCCCTGAGTCCATTTTTCATTAAATGTAAATACTCTTTTTCATCCCTTCTCATAGTTTTAAAACATGTTTCATAGAAATTCACACAATTTGGGAATTATCTGTTGTTTATTTTCTTGTTTGTTTCTGCCCATTTTTAAAGTTCCCTGGGGGACAGGGACCTGTGTGTTCAGATTTTTAAAAATTATTTTTATGGCTGGGTGCGGTGGCTCAAGTCTGTAATCCCAGCACTTTGGGAGGCTGAGGCGGGTGGATCACGAGGTGAAGAGATTGAGACCATCTTGGTCAACATGGTGAAACCCCGTCTCTGCTAAAAATACAAAAAATTAGCTGGGCATGGTGGCGCGTGCCTGTAATCCCAGCTACTCAGGAGGCTGAGGCAGGAGAATTGCCTGAAACCAGGAGGCAGAGGTTGCGGTGAGCCGAGATCGTGCCATTGCACTCCAGCCTGGGTAACGAGCGAAACTCCGTCTCAAAAAAAAAAAGAAAAAATTATTTTTATTTGCAATTGACATATAAAAGTGTACATATTTATGGGTACAGTGTGATGTTTCCATCTATGTATACATTGTGTAATGATCAAAAATGACTCACAAAGGTAGGCACAATACTTAATGCAAAGATAACATTAATATTTAGTATATGTAAATGCACAAATTGCTAAAAATTAAAGGCACTGGTACCGTACATTTAAATGGGCCAAATAATTGAGCAGAAAATTTACAAAAAGGCTAAAGAAATGTTTGAAAATGGGCTCAAGCTCAATAATAAACAAAGAAACATGAGGCAGAATTTTAAACTATTGGTAAAAAATGAGAAGTATCTCATATTGTCATGACATCTTGAAACTTTGCTCCCAGGAAATTTATTTCTGAGAATCTGTTCTCACAAAGTCGTCACCAACTTATAATAGGTATTATCTTTGAATTGTAGGTCTTTTTTCTATTTTATGTAATTATTTTTTAATATTTTCACTTTTAAAGTTTGAAAAATTAGGGGATATTAATACCTATTGATGTACTTACAAATTAGCAATATTTCCTACCTATTTTTTTCTTGTTTCCTTTTTTTTTTTTTTTTTTTTTGAGGCAGGGTCTCACTCCTGCCCAGGCTGGAGTACAGTGGTGCAGTCTTGGCTTACTGCAACCTCCACCTCCTGGGCTCAAGCCAATCTTCCCACCTCAGACTTCCAAGTAGCTGAGACTATAGGTGTGTGCCACCAAACCTGGCTAATTTTTGTATTATTTTGTAGAGATGATGTCTCACCATATTTCCCAGGCTGGTCTCAAACTCCTAGGCTCAAGTGGTCCACCCACCTCAGCCTCCTAAAGTACTGGGATTACAGACATAAGCCACCATGCCCGACCCATACCTGTTATTTCTTTATGACCTGTCAAACTAGGAAGTGATACATAAATATCTTATAATGGATTATTTTGTTCTTCAGCAAGCAACCTTATTTGAAAATAATATTCATATATGTACATAAATTTATAGTGTTCTATTTTTTCTTTAGGAAAATAAGGAAAGGCAGGAAAGAATTGAACGAAAACAAAAGAAACGTCATTCCTTTCTTGAAAGTGAAACACTTCCTCCATGGAGCCCTCCAAGCAGAACCGTGTTTGCAAAAGTGTTTTGATAATTCTAGTTCTTACATTATTTAGGAATTTATCGACTTGCCAATATTAGCCACAGATTTAAAACCATTCAATTATTTATAGTTAGAGGAATGTATTTTATTTAAATGCCAGGTACTTCTACTGACAATGAAAGATATTTTGGAGTGTAATCAGTGACAGCATTTTCTGAACTGTAGAAAAACTGCCTCGAATGAAGACCTAATAATCAGATTGCTTTTACCATTAAGATACATAAAGTTTAATCCCGTCCTGATAATTCTTATAGTGGAATGATTCATGATCTTTTTCACTAAGCTCTGTATGTTATTTAAGTATATTTAATTCCAGTAATTAAAAGGAAACCATCTACATATCATAATGATAGAAATGATTCCGTTTGTGGATGATTATGAATCTAGATTCAGGTTTTGAAATGAGTGGTAGCTAGGAAGTATGCATATATTATTCCTTCTGAAACTGATGTTTAGCTCAAAGCAGTTGCATTTGTACTTTACAAGTTAGAATTTTGATCAGCTGAGGCAGTAGTTCAGCAGAACTCTAATCATCAAAGCTTTTTATTTAAGAACTTTGCCTTATGTTTTAATATGAGTTACTTTATCTGTTCCAGGCTTATATGACAATCGTAGGCACTATAATGAGTCCACCTCTGAAATTTTTCTTTCTGAATTCTATCTCACTTTATCATTTCAGTGATACAAAAAGACATTAATGTCACAGAAGTGACATACTTATGTATTATGGAAATTCCACAGGAGTTCAAGGTTATTATCACTATAATTATTTTCCAGACTAAAGCCATAAAGGTGATTTAGGCAATTACTGTATTCTTAGCTAGTCCAGTTTTATAGCTTATATTCAGAAGACAGCTGTATGGGAAGGTAAATGTGTTGACAATGTCCACAAAATGTTTATGTATTTATTTATTTGATCTCTGCATGTCCTTATATTAATTGGTCTCAAACTTGACCTGGTCATCTAATTTAACATAGACCAAGTATATGCTCTTGGAGTTGAAATGCAGCATTAGTCAGTAATGCAATGCAGAGATGATAGATGAGAATACACACTATTTATTGAGCATCTAATATATAATATATACTGGATCTTTACAAATGTATTTAACATCTTTATAGCAACTTTTCAGGGTAGGTGTTATTAGCTTCACCTTACCGATAAAAATAGCGACACTCAGATAAATCAAGTAACTTGCCGTTCCGTTTGGAGTATGCCTGAATTGGGATCAAACAGGATTCAGTCTGTCTTACTCTTTCTGTAATCCCTGTGCTCTTTTTCACACTTCTGTGTGGCCTCAGAGACTGCTAAGTTCAGTCAAGACCTCTGCATAATATCAATGTTACAAAGATGTTTTAACTTTTAGAGCCTAAAATCATGTATTGTTATCCAGAGATGATCTTTCTCTACAGAAATAGCTGTTTTGTTGTTAGAGATAGTGGGCATCATTAAATCTATAAAATGAAATAAAAAATCCGTAAGATTTAAGGAGTTACTTAGACATCTTATACTTACTATCTGAGTATCAGAAAACTCATCACATTATGTGACAAAGGCTTTGAGATGGTCACTCCAGACGTTCCACACACTGAGCATCAGCCTTCTTGCTGCAGTGCATGTACAAGACAAGAAAGATGTCATAAACGGCTTTGTAAGATTGTATCAGTACCATAGACAATGAAGAGAAATTTCATACATAAAACTAGAAGTCTTTTTATATGGCCAGAAGTATAATACTTTATGAAATTAAACTAGTTATCAGCAATCTGTAGTATCAGCATGGAATTTAGGACCTCTCTTACTCACTTCTGTGTCCCCCATAGTACCAAACACAGTGCCTGCCAAAGTAGATTAAGTGTTTATTGTATTAGCCATTTAGAGCTAAAAAGATATTTGCAAATTTCAAAAAACAAAGATACCAACTTTCCTAGTTTCTGTTTAAACTGGCTAATAGAATAATAAATTGCTGTGTAAATGTTAAACTGTAGCTTCTCTGAGCTATTTTTACTTTAAAATTGCATATGATTCTGCCATTTTGAATATGTATATTACATGTAATTGTAACTTGGATAGGCAAAATTCTTGGTATTGAATTTAGGATGTTTTAAGAATTATTAAAAAGATATATTTAGTGTCTGCTTTTTGATAGCATGTTTTCATGTAATGCTTAATGTATCAAAGTCAACCATTCAAGATTTATTTTATTGGGTGATACTATTTATTGACTGTGTTCTGAAATGGCCATAGTGTTAGGAAATGTGATGTGAGTTTTATTTGTGGACTAAGGATGAAATAATCATATTATGCTAATACACCTTTTATTATAAATGACTAAAAATTTGGATATATAACTGATGTTTTACTATACAAATTACAGAGATAGATAATATAATTATATCATTATTAAATAATTAGGAAATGAAAATAAGCAAAAGTCACCCATGTTCCCAGTTCTCATCTCCCAAAGATAATTATCACTAGCATATTATTTTGTACTCTTCCCATTAATTAGTTTCTAGTGTACTTTCCCCTGTAGCTGAAATTAAGCTGAGAAAAAAGGAATAGTTCCTCCATCCTTTTTCTCTCTTCCACTCTGTCTCCCTCCTGTACTGTGTATATATACAAATATGTATGCATATATATATAATGTACATAATATATATAAAGTACAAACACTATTGTGCATATTTTCAAAAATACACATTTTTTATTTGAAATAAAAATGAGATCAGACTACATTTTTGGTGGCCAGATTTTTTTTCACTCAGTGATATATCATGAACATATTTCCACACTAATATAATTTTCTAATAATTTCAGATGCTATAACTACAGTTTAATTCTTATTGGAAAATTTGTTGCTTTATAAATGGTAAATCATTTGGTAAACAATATGATCATTATTCTTGTAGCCAATATCATTATTAAAATGATGGACCTTATTAAAGCTATAGAAGAATTTATAAATGTAAAGAGTTATTCAGAAATCTTGTATCTAATATTACAGTGTCAGAAAACTCAGCAGGTTATATAACATGTAGACTTTGAGATAGTTGCTCAGAAGTTTTCACATACAGGATTAACCTTGCTGCAGTGCTTGTGCAAGATTAAAAAGATGTCATGGGTCCCTTTGTAAGCTCATAATATTGCTGTAGATAAATAAAGGAAATTTTATAAATAAAACTAGAAGCCTTTTGATATTTCCAGAACTGTAAGACATAGAATGTGAGTTGTTTAATTGGTGTAGAATTTCAGTTTTTGCAGGATGAAAAGAGTTCTGGAGATCACTTGCATGTCAGTAAGAATGTACGTAACACAACTGAATCCTACACTTAAAAATGGTTATGATGGTAAATTTTATGTATATTTGGCCACAATTTTCAAAACCACAAAGCAATAATAATAATAATGCTTACTTGCTTATATAAGAGAGATACAGAGAAGACTTCTCCCTGATTATAGAATCTTTTGTTTGGTCTGACTAGACCAACTTGCTCATCTCAGATGAGTCATCATTAATTCAATTATAGTTGCTAGGAGAAAATCAGATGCTGAAGGGCTTAAACCTGGATTGACTGTAAATAAGAAGGCAACAATTCAACTAAACTTCCTAGTAACTCTTCATTTCAGATTTTGTTCTTGAATAGTCTCACTCACTTTATTTTACATAAGCTTAGTGTTCTCGTTAGGCTTTTAAAACCAAATTGTATTGCAATTTCTGGCAGACTTGTAGTAACCATATGCAACAATGGAATCCATTCATTCGAAGTAGATATGATAAAACTAATCCCCTTCTAGAGGATAATTGATGTTCTGTTATATTTTTGTATGCAGGGCCATATAACTTTAAAAAATAACTCCATGGTGTTCATGGATCCCCTTTGAAGAAAGTCTACTCAGATTCTTACCCATCCCACACATACACTCGGTGTAACTTACTCTCTTCTCTACACTGTTTCCCTACACAAAATAACTGTTATTGAAAGCCTCATCTTTGAAAGTCTATACATTTATTTTCCAACTTAAATGAGAGCTTTATGGGGGCAGGAATTAAATTTTACACATTTTGACATTTCTAGTTTATCACTTAGTTCTGGATAGTCTTTGGCTGATAGAATAGTAAGTTAAAAATAAAATATAAAAATAGTGCATGAATGTTTGCAATGCATGTATATTATGTATATGAACAAGGACTTCATTGAAAAAATTTTAGAAATTTTTTTAAGAGTATTAAAATGGAATTTAAAATTATGAGTATTATACAGTTTGATATTTTGCTGTAAATAGTACTTTATTTTTTCAGTTCCAACCAAAAAAAATCTTTTGAATAGAAAACTGTGTATGTGTGTATCATTGCATTAAGTTGGGAAAGAAAATAAGGTCACATATATTCTAATACTTACAATTAAGTAGATTGAGCTCTATCCAGAGCACTGTTTTTTTTTCTTTCTTGGTGTCCTTCCTGTGGTAATATTTTTAAATAAAAACGATAAAAGAAACAAGCCGAGGGGGTTCCATATAGAATTACCTTTTAAAAATAGCTGTAATTTGGATATACCCAAGTGTGGATGCTGAAGCCAAAGTCTACAGAGATGCCTCAACCCTAGAGAATGGATTGCATGGTTGCTTGTGGCTCCTTTTAAAAATTACTACTTTAGGGGATCTTCCCACACCCTGAGCTATTATTTTTAAAACATGAATTCGTTTCTATCACCAGATTTTTTCATTTTAATAGACACAATTCAAACAAATATTTGACTTTTTTCTGATTCTACAAGAAAAATAATTGTGTGTTGATAAATGTTTAAGGACAAACGACCTCAGTATTGAAGAGGAAAAATGGAGGGGCAAGGGTGATGATGAACTGGGATGCAGAGCCTACCTTTTCCTCAGTAACAGCCAATGGTTGCCTTGACAGAATTTATATTTTAAAATATCAGTGACCATATCAACGAAACAAACAAGATTCTTAAAGTGAACACTGCAAGTCCAAATGAAACAGATCTGCAAGCCTTCCTGGTTATGTTTTCTTCCCAGAAACTTCCAACTGGTGTGGTAAAGCACATGCATGAGCTAAAGTGCACTGAGATACTACAAATGCTGTGGCGGTTCCTGTCAAGGAGTCAGGGAAGCTTGGCACAGAGCCCCAGTTGAGTCTGTCCCCTCTGGCTCAAACTGCTTTATATGGGCTTCCAGGGGAGTACCACATGGAGACTCGAGCTTACTGATGTGCCAGTTTGTACCTGCAGGCTACTGCAAAGTGAGGGACATGGGCAGTCATTGCTCTACCTCAGCCTTGAAGATCCTCAATGATATGGAATCCATTTCAATAGCCAGCTGTGGAGTAGGCTACTTCTCATGGATAGGGGCCTGTGGGCTGCTGGAGGGGTTCATTTGTCAGATCCCCAAAAAACATCACTGGTGGCCAGCCTAATGGCCAGACTAATAGAAGCTGGGTAGTGCCTGAAGGCTACTTGGGGTTTTGTGGAGGGTATAGTCTGTCTTCAAGTATATACTGCCTTTCATAGTGTGTGTGAGAGGCATACAAACTAGCTGCAGGGTGACTGCACTATCCATTCCAACCATGGAAGAGCCATTTATCAAACCAGAATTCCATGATTATTTTGATACACTATATTTCACCAGAAAATATTTGATGTGATTTGAAATTTGCTTTGTCACATGAAATCTTATTTTAATTATTAATGAAAGAAAAGAAGGCTGTTTGGTTACTTAAATATTCCAATGGTAAGGTTTTGATGATGCAATATATGTTTTCAAAAATTTTATTATCTATGCAAACAAAATTGTCTCTAAGAGTTTGATGAGACACTCTTAAATGTCATGATCAGGATTGCATATGGACATCTCAAATATAAAACCTGATATTAAAAAGTCACACAAGCAAATTCAGGATTCCCATTGTATTAGTCTGTTTTCACACTGCCATAAAGATAGTATCTGAGACTGGGTAATTTATAAACAAAAAAGGTTTAATTGACTCACATTTCCACATGGCTGGGGAGGCCTCAGGAAACTTAAAATCCTGGTGGAAGGGGAAGGGGAAGCAAGGCACGTCTTACATAATGGCAGGAGAGAAAGAGAGAGAGCAGGGGAAATGCCAGACATATCGAACAGATCTCATGAAAACTCACTGTCATAAGAACAGCATGGGGGAAACCACTCCCATGATCTAGTCACCTCACATCAGGTCCCTCGCTTGACATGGGATTACAATTCCAGATGAAATTCGGGTGTGGACACAGAGCCAAACCATATCATTCTGTCTCTGGCCCCTCCCAAATCTCATGTCCTTTGCACATTTCAAAACCAATCATGCCTTCCCATCAGTCCCTTCCACCTACGAGCCTGTAAAATCAAAAGCAAGTTAGTTACTTCCGAAATACAATGGCGTATAGACACTGGGTAAATGTTCCATTGCAAATAGAAGCTGGCCAAAACAAAGGGTTCACACGCCCCATGCAAGTCCAAAACCCAGAAGGGCAGTCATTAAAGCTCCAGAATGATCTCCTTTGACTCCATGTCTCATATCCAGGGCCAGGGCACTCTGATGCAAGGTGTGGGTTTCCACTGCCTTGGGCAGCTCTGCCCTTGTGACTCTTGAAGATACACCTCTTGTGGCTGCTTTTACAGACTGGCATTGAGTGTAGCTTTTCTAGGCACACAGTGCAAGCTGTCAATGGATCTACTATTCTGGGTCTGGAGAATGGTAACCCTCTTCTCTCACAGCTCTAGTAGGCAGATTCCCAGTAAGGACTCTTTGGGGGCTCCAACCCCACATATCCCCTCTGCACTGCTCAACCCCACATATCCCCTCTGCACTGCTCTAGCAGAGGTTCTCTGTGAGGGCTCAACCCTGCAGCAGACTTCTGCCTGGACATCCAAGCTTTTCCATACATCCTCTGAAATATAGGCAGATGCTCCCAAACATCAACTCTTGTCTTCTGAGGCTGCATAATTTATAAACAACAGAGGGTTAGTTGACTCACAGTTTTGCATGGCTGGGAAGGCTTCAGAAAACTTACAACCATGGCAGAAGGTGAAGGAGAAGCAAGTGCCTTCACAAGGCAGCAGAAGAGAAAGCATGCAGGGGAAACTGCCACTTTTAAAACCATCAGCTATCATGAGAACTACCTCACTCTCATGAGAACAGCAGAGGAGAAACTGCCCTCATGATTTAATCAGCTCCCACAAGGTCTCTCCTTCAACATGTGGGGATTAGAATTTGAGATGAAATTTGGGTGGGGAAAGAGAGCCAAATCATATCACCCATCATATATTTTTAAACACCTTATTTTGACACTTGTACAGGTTTATTATTTTCTAATAATTTTTACTTTTACTTTTATATAAGGAAAATGCAATTGTATTAACCAAGGCTGATACAGGCACTGTTAAACATTCAGGGTAATCAATGCTAACAATGATTTTTTTGTTTTTCTGATACCATATGACAAGTCTTGGGAACCAGCTCTACTATTCCCCAGATAATCAGATATCTCATGTCACAGAGTACATAACCAAAGATGTGAATTCTTCCAAAACAAAGATCTGTCCAGGTCAACTTATCTTCTCCATGCTAGTTATGAAGGTAAATGGGAACATTTTCAATGATACCTTCTTTTGTTAAAAGGAGAGAAAACATTTCATCTCACTGGGTAGTGGGCAAGTTTAACAAAAATTCTAAAGACAGACCAGGTGTGGTGGCTCATGCCTGTAATCCCAGCACTTCAGGAGGCCGAGGCAGGTGGATTACCTGAGGTCAGGAGTTCAAGACCAACCAGGTGAACATAGTGAAACCCCATCTATACTAAAATACAAAAGTTAGCTGGGCATGCTGGCACATGCCTGTAATCCCAGCTACTTGAGAGGCTAACGCAGGAGAATTACTTGAATCCGGGAGGTGGAGGCTGCAGTAAGCTGAGGTTGCACCACTGCATTCTAGCCTGGGCAACAGAGTGTGACTCCGTCTTGAAAAAAATTCCAAAGACAGAAAAAAATATATAGGTTTTTGTGAGATAGAGGAATAACACTGGTTCATAATGATGATTATGTATTATATGGAAGCCTAGAAAATGGAGATATGCCAAGCACTAGTCTAAGTACTGAGTATACTTAAATGGATAAAGCAAAGTTCCTGTGCTCATGTAATTTATATTTTAGTAGGGAAGGGAAACACTGAACAGATAAACAAATACATATGTAATGTAATGTTCACTGATTCTAAGTACAATAACCTCTAAGCAGGGTAAGAAGATAGAGTGATAGAAGCTGTTACATAGGATTGTCAGAGGTCTATCTAAAGAATACTGAGATAAACCTAAAAGGAGTGAATGAGCAAACCATGTGAATACCCAGAGGAATAGAATTTGACCTGTAGGACCTCATAGGGCATGGCATAGACTTGGATTTTATTTTAAGTCTTATGTGTATAGTTGGAGAGTGAATAGCAGTGACTGCAGAAGACCATATAACAGAAATATTTATTTGACTGTTGAGTAGACAATAGACTTTAGGGAACAAGCATGAAGAGTTTAAGAGCTGTCGTAGTTGG